AGAAGAATAATCAATGGAGGACGGCTCATCACTATGATTCATCCAACTATCGATCTGACTGTATTTCCGTATATATGGATCAATATATCTCTATCTCATTCTATCTATTTTTGAATCTATGTATCTTGAAAATTATCCATTTTCAAACAGTGAATGTCGTTCATTGGACTAAAACAATCAAGTCGAATATTACACTGAATCAAATTATGAAACTTAAAGATAGAATGATATGATGACCATAAAATTAGGAAACTTACATCATTCGTTATACGCGATTCAGAACAATTTCCAGAATTTATAGTTTTGTACACCAATAACTTTATAACGCCTATTGATTGACTAGCGTTTACTGAACTGTAGACGAAATAATTGTTCATCACCTCTGTGTAAAACATTCGAAATTGTAATTGAGTTTGAGGTACAGTCAACATGATTAACAAGTACGTGCAGATGCTTTGGAATGTCAAAAAATGAATCATCATGTAACTCAAATGAGCTCACACAGTAAATACCATTGAACTTTTTCCTTGACTTTACTTCTTTCTTATCACTTTGAATATTATATTGTTTGAAACATCATGTTCTGCAATCTTTTCACACCATGAATAGCAATAATTACTTTTACATACCCAGATGATTGTGATTCGAGGAATTTTACAAAGAAACGTGAATCGTCGATTCCTATCCTTGGTAGAGTGTCTCTAGTGATGCCTTATCATACTAAACATCAATATTGGACTTGTAACGTTTTTACCTTGTTTAATGGCACTATCTTGGCCACAGAATCATTCAAGTCAAGTAGTTGTAAATCACAAATGTACCGATCTACTTCTTCACTGTGATTTTAACAGATTCGATCGGTTTTATTATCAAAACACGAAAACATGAGTATTAGATGTTGATTTATTTCGCTGTTCAAACGTTTATTAGTCGTACCTCTCAATCAATAAAGCACAGGGTGAAGCAAACTCTGCTTGCAGCTATTCAGCACTTCTATTGTGTTCTACTTCTTGATGACAAACGTAGTTCATTTCATCCGAATATCTGAAATCGAGGTTTGCGAAGAAAATATTGTCTTCGGTGTTTGTTATCAAATCATTTGGATTAAAGATGTTTCCCGAATGTAGAAATTTTTTCTTGATTTTGTCATTACATTTCATTTTATTTAAATCATATTCACTTTGTTCGATTATAATGCCGCGTGGATATCAAAACGCTTGTGTTCGTTGAAAGTGAACGTTTCTGTAATTCAGTCAACCGTAGTAAAAACTTGAAAAGCGTTATACGTTACAAGATTCAATTTGCATTGTTCGACTTATAATCGTAACTAATTGCTCCAACACGTTTTTTCATGTTCCATTTAATTTGTTCTTGTATTTCTATGAAGAAGTTGCCTCAACAAAGTACCAAAATAAAAGCTTTCTGTTAAATTGTGTGATGGTGAACCAGCAACTCGATATAGTCAATATTTATGTTCATTGAACAGTATAATAAGAATGCTCATTCTATAAATAACTAGACCAACTTATTGTTAAATTGTTTTTTAAGAGGCTTTATTTTGGAAAGTCATTCCTATACATTTGTAATATGTTTTTGGTGACTCATTCAGTTCTATATTTTGATGGTCCGTTGCATCACAATTTCAGATGTTATTATTTGTATTATTTTACAGTTTTCTAATATTTGAACCATTTTCGAGATTCTCTGTTTCTTCCTGAACTGTAATACGTTGTTTAGGTTAATACCTAATTATGGTGGCAGCCATATCGCGATTTGATCTTCTGAGGTTGATACGCTAATCTGAAGTGAAAGTGTGCCGTTTGAATCGGAATGGGAGCATTAATCCACAATTAGCAACACTTTGAGCTATTAAACCGGGATTATCAGCTGTAATTTTGTATAGGTAATTATGTGTACCTACATTTATAATTATTATTGGAACCGTTACTTATTGACTTCAATTTCTTTTCCTGGAGATTAACTGAGATCTGATCTTCTTGAACAAATTTTACCCAATCTTTCTCTGAATGAAATTTATAGTTGTTATATGATCACCTGTTTTCGTTTAATTGTTGCAGCTGTCTAACTGATAAATGATTATTCAAATCAGAAATAAACTCCTCTAACAACTTTAAATGTTTCTTGTAGAGTTTTTCAGTGGTTTCTTCATACTTTGCAGTGATGACGTGCCGTCGTGCGAAATTCTTCTCATAATCAAGGCACTGTTTTGTGAGCTATTCAGACACGTTCTGGTGCCTTTGTTCACTAATGACGTTGAGAGAACCAAATGACATTTTCACAAAAGTGGTTCATGATGGAACAACAAAATTTTGGTCGTTTTTTTCACCGACCCACAACTTAGTGTGTTGTATGACATCTTCCAATGGTAATGACCAATCCTTAGACAAATGGAGAGCGATCAGAATCCAAAAACTTAAAACTGTTTTACAAACATAACGAACCCTTTTACAGTTTTCGGTTGCATCTGTATGAAATAAAATTATTTCAATACACCGACAGGAAATGGTAAACTGTCGTCTAAAAGTTAACGTACGACTAACACAGACATACTAATTAGGTTTTAATTTCAGTAGACAGGTCATGGCCAATAATTGTCATCTTCTCGCAAAGACACAGTAAATTATTTATCGATTCGAGCAAATGAAGTTAAGTAGACTGTTTTGGAGATCAGTAAACGAGCTTGTTAATTGGACGTATATCTGTTCAATATATTTTACCTATCACGTCGTCACGATCAATAGTCGGTGTCACAAAATGGTGTTCAATTAACTTCACACATGTTTTCGAAGATGCTTGTTTAAGTATACTAGATATCATTTAGAAATTATTACTTGACTCAATGTTTGAACTAATATGTTTACACGTCTATAGCATTAGCAGTAAATCATAGCGCATTCTCGTACTGGTATGATCCGTATGAATCATTATCATATATTCACTTTGATTGCGTCTTATGCATGGAGCGAAACATTTGTAGTGAATGATTTGTTCACGGAACATAATGACGTGATACAATATATCATATTCTGATCGGAAGTAGTATCGAATTATTCGTTTAAAGCTATCCTCATACAATCGTATTACCATTTTGAATCAACGTTCATTTTGTTTGTCCAAAATGCACAACAGCCCTAATATACTTTAAGTGAATAAACATTGTAGGATTTAATTTGTCCTACAAATGAAGTTCTAGAGCGGTAAACGCAATATTGGCGTTATTAAAGGAAAGCTATGGTTAGAAGAAGATCAACTTTGCATTAAACATTGTCTGTTTCCAAACGTACAAGGAACTCACAATTATCAAGAAAGACGAGCAAACATCCCGTGATTTAAGGTTTGCTGCTACGAATATGAGCATGAACATATACTTATATCGTCTTAGTGCTGCGTAAAAATTTATCACATGGTGATTGACCCTTTCTATATATTTTTTTAGTCAATAATATATTTGCACTACAGAAGCTCTCTGTTTCAGATGCTTACGATTGTTTGTCATCACTTGTTTGACAATAGAAAATGATTTTTTCTCAAGTCATTTATTTTGCCAACATGGTAAAGTAATGTATCAGAGTAACATAGATGTCAGAGTTTTGTGGTTTCCAATATCGAATTGTTTGGTATATATGAGATTTCGTGATGGAGGTTTGCTCAAAAGTGCTTGCTTAGAAAGAACATTTGATAGCATAGTTTTCCGAAATGGATATGAAGTGAATAGAACAATTAAAAGAATAATAATAAAAATCAACCTTACTGTAATTGTAGGAGCAGAAATGAGAAATGGTAAAGACCTAACTGATTCAATAGATATCACAAACAGATTGAGATTGAAAAGTTTCATAGCACTAATTTACCATATCGTCCAATTTTCCTCGGAAAATTTTAACAGGAACAAGTTACGTAACCTTAGTTTCCACAGTCGTCCGAACGCACTTAATCGTAAAAAATAATTGAAAACTATGAAACTTTCATAACAATTTTCTAATAATGCTAAAGAGGTATTACAAATAGTTTACTTCGGGTAACTAAGAGCAATGAAAGAACTGCCATAAAAGGGATAGAATAGTTATGGATTTTCCCGATTTAAAAAACGAATATCTATACTAGATGTGACATCAATCAAGGCAAATGCTCGATTCGTCAGTATGAACACAGCAATATTTTGTAGCTAAGAAAGAGGACACGTCACAAATCTTCAAAATTATTCTACTTGGTAAATTCCATAAGCGTAAGAGGTTCTCTCAATGAATGCGACTTCAAGAAAGAAAAAAAATTCCTACTGCTTATCATGGTCATCAAGTTACCAGAAAATGATAAACGTAAGTGAATTTTTGCTTATATAATCATCATTTTCCATGGTATTTTGACTAACAGGATAACAAAAGCCTTCACTATCGTTTTTGTAAATTGAAGACTTTTACTAATTTTGAAAGCTGCTCAGTCTAACACTTCAAATACGTATGAGACAACATCAACAACCAATCAAAAGCAATACATTTTGCAGTTGAGGTGAAAATATTAAACAATAATCGCCGACTATACGTTGATATTGAATTAAACTGGATTTAACAGCAATGTAGATAGAAAAAATTAATGACTGTTATCTATACAGAATGCATTAAAACTGAAATCTATTTCCCTACTAGTTTTTATTACACGTTTGCTCTGTTAATGTAAACAAAATTATAAAAGTTTGCATTCGTTTTATTGCTGTATCACAAACCAAGCGATAATAAACTTTGTCAAAACAGTCAATTCCAGCTTCAATCACATAACGGTATGAGAATAAGAAAACTCACATTGAAGTGATTTGTAACACTTATTAAATACTATTACCTAACATGATATCTGGAAACACAAAATTACTGTATATCTACTTCTACTTCTTAACTAACTACAGTTTTACCCTTTTAAAGGCAAATTATTTACAAAGTTCATTAAAATTATTGCTATCTGTAGTGCAGTTGCAAATAACATGAATTTTACTGACTGTTGTGATAATGTAAAATAATACGTGACAATGATTTGAAATAAAAACTATGAACAATCCATTCATTTAAAGAAGCTCTTATGCTAAGTGGAAGAATATCGGCATGATATGTATAGTCATCGGAACAATTTAAATATTCATCTGACTGTTATTAATTTTGTCAAAACACCAAGTGACTTGTCTTACTTATCCCTTTCTGAGTATAATGAGTATATGTATATGGAACAGTTCAGTAGAGAAAAACGAGGTGTATATCTACGTTTACAATCGTTGGATGAACATCAGAAGACTTTATTTGTAACAGTCACAGACATGATTATCCATACTAACAACATATAATTCCTCATACGATATTTCGAATTTATAGTCTGCAAAGCTTTGGATCATTCTATTATCTGTATCAGTAAAATATTTACAAGGAATTCAGACGAGGTTTCAACTCAGAAACTTTTCGATCAAGACAAATACGGCAAAAGCAATGTTCGGCTTTTAATATCATGGTATTATTGCACTGAAAAAAACGTAGACAGGTCATGTCTGTTCAGTTGATCTGTTTCAAAACAGAACATTGTATGAGAATGAAATGACACTCTGATGATTAAGGAAAGATTCTTTTCAACTAAATGTTTTACAGATTATGATTGCTGATACTAATTTGAATCAGTTGATTGTATTGTTCGGCCGCTCGATATAAATTTCTTTCTCAGGTCAGTATTGTTGGAGGGTCAATGTTTGTACTCATTCAATTGCTCATGAAAATGAAAACGTCAAATAGGTTTTCGAAGCTACGGATGCTGATCACTCAAGTGACCAACATTTATTCGAATTTATCTAAATAGTCAATGCAAATCTACAGGAATTTTATTCGCATATAATTCATCAAGTAAATACAGGAATCTTTTGTGTATAAAGCTGATATATAAATCTAACAACAGATGGCTAAAAAGTGTGAGATTTTCACCGTGCAATTCTGTTGTTATAATAAAATTGTTTGTGATTTATGAATAATTGTTTGTTGACCATCGAATAACTCCAATAAAATAATTTGAGGAATAGCGACGTCAGTTCAGAGAATAGTACTAATTAGCCGTAAATGAGTAATTTGCGTCAATGTTTGCGTCCTAATATTATTATTATTTCGGTTTTTATTCTTCTCATTGTGTGACGGCTTTTGTTGCATGTTTTGTTTTACTGACGCTTAATACTTGTTCTTTTATGGACGCACTCAGAAGTTTTAATTCCGAGAACAGCCATCATTACATAATGATTTATCATTTCAATGCCAATACAATAAAAGTGAAACTGTATTTCACTAAATTTGATACGAATAGAACGATGTCACTGTGTTTTCGCTGCATTATCTATAATTTTATTACGTTACTTATTAAAAATGTCTTTGGTGCACATGTCACTTAGAAACAGTAAGACTCACACGTTGATTGTTATAAAGATTTGAATTCTATGAACTATGTAATCCTTCATTCTCATTACGAACTTTACTTTGCATGAAATATATCTGATTGCATGAAGTTATCGCACATGTTAGAGACATTGACATACTCTACATCACGATCGCTTCGTTTCGACTAACGCAATTACGCCGATGACTGGAAATTGTGCATGGTCCACCGGTCAGTATTTTCAAAGCCTCTACTTACTGAATCATCTGTTTAAGTTCCTTCCGATCGCTGTTTATTCTTGTATGACTTTTATTAATTCTCCGCGTGTTTTGTTCTGCGTTGGCAGTGAGAATTTTAAGGTACTACATGTCTTGTGAATTAGTTGAGTGATTTCTCTCATGCTGATCTATGTGGCCCCTACTGCTCCTTCCATATCTCATCATCTGCTTGAATCGGATTTATTCTTTCTCACACTGAGTTGGCACTGTCATTAGTGTCACGTTGACTGATGTTCGGTCAAGTGAGAAGACAGCTGTTAAATAACACATGTATTTCTCAGATGATTCCTTTCGAAGGAAGCAATGTGTCTGCTTCATTCATAAAAATCTTGCGACGCCTGTAAAGGAAAATTTTAGTTAGGCTTCTCCTGGTAGCTTTACTGAGTTTGAGACGCTCTTCACTTTTATAAATATATGCCTTGTTTTGCTAATTCTTGCTTTCCTATCTGCGCCAGATCCAGACTGTTCTTCCATGATGCTCCCAAGGTACTCCTTGGGTTTCTTCATTCTCCAAAGCCTCTTCTTCATTTGCTATCAGGTTGAGACGCGTCGTGAAATTTCGGTAGTCCGTTCTTTTTTGCTTGTGTATGTCTAGAACTGCGTCATTTGTGGCTGACTTGGTAACAGAGTTAATCGATCGTGAGTATGGTGACTTGATATATTACATTTGCTCAATTGATTTTACTATGATTTTTGATGAACAGATTATTAGTTTACAGTTGTTTGAACACATTATCAAGGATGCAAAGATGTAGTGGAATTTCATTGTGACTTCATGAAGCCCAACCTTTGTCAGCGTTATCATAATCACCTAATGACCAACACGCTGGATTAGGAAAGAATCTGCAAACATTATCTCTATCTGTTCAACTTAATTAGTATTTGACTGAGTTTTGTTAGAAGATGAGATTGTTAGAAATCCGAATAGTAACCTACTGAGATATTCTGAGTATCTCCTCAGGTTCACCACGTTGCTGAAGAAAACTCATTATCATCATACTATTCACACTGCCCACGCTTTCTCCTAATCAAAGGGGTTGCTATTGAATGTCGACGTTTACATAATCCATCTTTCTAATGTGTAAGCTGAACATCTGTTTACCTCAGGTACTTAAGCGACATTGTGCTGATGGATTTCTCGTTATTGAAACGTGCGTGAGGATTTTATAGCTGTCATCAAAGTTAAAATCATTGTTCGGTTGGCTGTGAACACGATCACATGTTGAAATTTGTATTTAAAAAATTGTCATCATTATCAAAAAACGATACATTTCGAATTGTTCGGTTCACTGCACCTTTGTACTCAGCAGCACAACACGCTTACTATCGACGCGAATACAGTATAGATTTTTTGTAAATTGTTCATTCAGTACACTGATTCTCGAAAACAGTTATATGTATCCTTATTTACCACTTGAAATACAAAAATCATTTGAGGCAACAGAGGCTTTCTGCGTCGAATGCTTACATATTGGTTTCCATTTTCTTTAAATGTAAGCCTAAATTATTGTATCAGTAAGTTAGAAACGAAGTCCTTTTAAGTAATTTGATGTTCGTAATGAATGCGTATCTGTATCTTATTTATAACTATGCAATGAACGTGTTCGTTAAAGGCAAGCCTTTGATTTATATTTTAAACGTTACTTATAAGCATTGAATTACCATTACTTGACTTGAGTCATAAAGTAAAAAAATTAACAGACAAATTTCAACTGCTGTCCAGTTTCAAAGAATGTATTAGCTTTCGTGGTGAATGCATTTTAGATATTAATCAATTAACTAACTTTGACGATGTGCCTCATTTTTAAAGTTTTAATCAGTTGCAATCTGCACTCATATACTCAAGATTAAATACGTATGGATAATAAAATTCGAATACGCTACGTGTCAGAGAGATATGTGCGTACTAGATGACTCATCTTTTTTGTTATGGAATTTCTAGTGATTAGTTGAAAAGTGATCATGAAGAAAGTTTGATACAATTTCCAACAGTACAGTGACTAACCAGAAGTACACGCACAACGACATTTTTTCAATATGTTCCGTTTACGCTAGTAGTAATAAATACAGTTTTCTATAAAATATTTACTACAAATAAACTGATTATCCTACGCACAGAATTCTTGCAAGTCCGATTTACGTACATCAACTATAACCACGATCAAAATTAGTTTAAGTGACTGTCAAATCAGTTTCACTGATCTTTCATCATTTTAATGAAACGCAACAATCTTCAAAGCATATAACTGACACGTATTATATGCATACATTTGACTAGCTACGAAAGTAAAGTTTTGGAATTTTGTTGATACATCATCATTGCTAGTTACCAAGGTGTTTATTCTGAGGTTGACGCACAGCGAATAAAGGGGATTTGCGAATTTACGAAGTGGTTGAATTTAAACAATAACAATAACATATGCTTCCTCAATGTTCTATGTGTCTATCGTTCATGAGAAATGCACTTTAAATGCAAATGATCCTCGATATGAGTATATCAGCTTACCTTATTCGTGCATTACTAAAGAAAGTTAGTCCTAAATGATTAGCTAAATAAGTCGGAAAATGACCGTTATGATTTGGATAAAGCGATTTGGATCACCCATAATCACTTTCATAAAATGCATCACATGCGATTGTATATGAAACAAACGCAAACGTAATTTGCACAAACGTGACTCTAATTTGCCGAGCACTTCAGACATCATGTCGAGTTGAAGCAATAAATGAGGTTGCTTTTGAAATAGGTAAACGCTAACTGAAATGGACATCATTGGACGGAGGAAAACGTTTGCTACATTTGTGAAAATATTTGATAGTTTATAGCGACTAAATTCATTGTCATTATTCTATGAAAACAAACGTGTTTCGCTGTGAACAATCTAGTTATGTTCAGTTGTATATAGGTTTAATCTGGTTTACCTCATTTAGTCAATCCGCTCACGATCTCATTAATGACAAGACAAGTAGATAGCTCATAGCTTCAAGTAACCAGTTCACTATCATCATAGTTGCAACTGCTTCATCCGTTGATAAAGTGATTTAGGTCTACAAGATAACACATCAGTGAACAGCCTATTATATAGATTTTTATTACATCATATAAGATGATTCGAAATGAAAATCAGAGAAGAATTCAGACAAAAGTCTACCACATGTCAGTCAGTGCAATAAAATATTGATAGAATAATTCTGATGAACAAAATAGAACAAATTCAAATTCACTGGGATATTTTATGAATAACAAAGAATCCATCAAAATCGGTAATTATTTCATTCTTTCACAGCATATATGGATAACAATGGAAAAAAGCATTGACATGGTATTGTGAGATTATCAACAGTATCACAAACTCAAACGAACATACTAAAGTCATGTACAATAGAGAATAATCGTCGCTGTATTTCAACAAGTAGTAAAAGGTCAGCGAAATCACCTGAAATTGTAATAATGTAATTGTTAAGACTAACAATGAAACGTTGAACAACTCATACATATGTGATAAAACTAAAGATATTTACAGATGAATTGTTAATTGTCTAGTAATTCCACATCATCAAAACTAATCAAATGACAAGTGAGTTAGTTATTTGTTTGATCATTTGATCAATTATACATTCTTAGACAATGAGATAAGTCTGATCAACATCCAGTTTGTTGATGAGCAAAATATAGAAATGTGAAATTTTCACTATCCACCACCTAACATTCAAGCCTTCATAAGATAATATTGTAACTAACGACGTTTCAAATATCACTCTCTATATATCAATTCCAAAGCATCAGTTGCATAACTTTTGCAAAAGCTGCAAGGTTTGAGTTTCTGTCTGTTGTAGGATATGTGAAAATTCACAATATAACGATACAGTCATATATGTGTAAAATCAATTATTCATGAGTAACTTACAATAAATATTGCACCACACCAAGAAATTAACGACAGAACTGCAAATGCTATCTACAACAAAGAAAAAAATCCTTTTTAAAACAGCTTCAAACTTGAAGTTTCTGTCCGTATTGACATTTGTGAAAATGCATGATTCACAGAGGCAGTTAATTGTAAGGAAATCCAATTATTCATCCGAAACTTACAAAAAAGTCTGCATTGCACCAAGACATCAACTTCAGAACTTCGAATACTATCTAGAATGAAAGAAAATAATTATTCATTGGTAAATATTTGGTTCGAACTGCCTAAACATTATACATTCGCAAATCTTCTGAGTGTTGTCGCTACGAAATTTTACAGTGCATCAACTTTGAATTCAGAAAATTCATATCCACAATATGAATGACATGCAACTACAGTTCACTCTCATTAGAGCTAGTTAACATTTGTATGTAATTATCTTGATGAATAATGTAATCATAATGTTTCTCAGGACTTTGTTACGTTTTATTTCAACGTTCAATCAATAAGCAGCTGCTTTGTCTTAAAATTCATGGTTTGTTAGGCGCATATGAATAAAAATGAATTTGTTATGAATATACATACATAACATATGGATGATGATTGCTGTTTTTCTAGACTTCTGTATGATAACGTTCCTAATTATGCTTCGGAAACAAATAATTTGTTTGAATAATCAATCATAAATTATTTCAAAGGCAAATGTTATCTGCAATCAATGATGATATGTTGAAGTGATTTCTCCTAATCAGCTTACGTGTTTTGATATATAGCAAAGTACGGTTAGAACAGAGAAAGCAACTCCAGCTGCCATAAATAAACAACAAAAGGAAAATAATAGTATCCTCCATTTTCGAGCGAAATCTGTCAGTTTAACACCCAATAGAAGAGAAAAAATCATGAAGACGGACGCCACATCAGCAGCGATAAGGAAATCTTTCCAATCATCAGGTGGGCTCAGTAATCCAACGCAGATTATCCAAACGATCAACTAAGAAGTAAAAAAGTGATATGTTCGTTTATGATAAACAAATTGTGAAATAAGTCGACATCGATAAAAATAACTGAAGGATAACGGGTAATGCGTTTATCTC